TCTAATATCTGGATCAATAGTGTGAAAACCATCTTTTTTGAAGACATGTAGCATTTTTCTTTCCAGAATGAAAGAGAGAATTGATCCCATGATAAATATTCTATGTTTAATCTGGTAAAAAATATAAAATCCATTGTGTACGAGTAAAGAACAGAAAGAATAGTTTTTCAATTATTATCTATCTGTTTTAATACGATCTATCAATTCTACAAAGAGAATAATAATAAAATACATGACCAAGTTTTGTTTTTAATACATTTTTCCTTTTTCAATATGTTAGCGTGTCATCGATATAAGAACATTTAGTCGACTTTCATGTTTTGTGATTCCAGTGTGAAAAGATGTCTCTCAATCACATACTGATAATCTACCAGTATACGTCAAATTTCACGCTCTATCCGAATTCGAATGTTTGACTTTTCTTCTCCATACAGTGAGCGTCCAAGTGATAGTATGTGCTTACTTTACGCACGATTTATTCAATCTTTCAAATATCCATAGATGGGCACAAAGTAGCCGCCAAAACATATCCTCAAAATGTTTGTGTATACTCAGAATTTTGAGCTCTATCCTAATCTCAACCCTTCAGGAGGCGAAAATGTACGCTAGGGAGATATGCACGTTTTAATGAAATTTTGACAAAAATTCAAATCTATTTTTTAACTGAACGATAAAATATTAGAGTTTCATTCAAAGTTCACTTGATAGAGCACATGAAACTCCCTATGCTCAAAAAATTCTGAGCTCTCGAGTAATCTCCTTCGTGATTTTCTTTTGTTGTTTTAAGGAATTTTAGCCAAAACTCATTTTTCTAAATCTACGAGAGCGGATCGGGATCGGATTCGAAAATCTCAAACCTGCAGGACTCTACCACTGACTATATACCAAGTTATAGCTCACCAATTTCTCTAAAAGACTGCGTATTGACGAGTTTGTCTGATATATCAGTCAAACAATATGATCGATTATACAACAATTTTTGATCAAACAAAACGGAAATAAAAGTACTTTAAGATGCTTTCCACAACGGCACCTTTAAAAAGAATTTTGACTAAACAAAATATATGCATGCTAAGAACTGAAGTACCAAGCACTATTATAATATCATATAGTAGTACATGTCGGTTATTTGGAATTGTTTTTGGTAAATATATTGTATATTTTAATCATTACTAAAAAATACTCATGCCATCGAACCATCGATGTCAACAAAACCTTAATAATAATAGGAAGAAAAAAATGTCGTACTTCTGTACCTAAAAAGCCATCTCTCACTACAATGAATAACGAAAGTAGTACAGAAGCAATAGCCTCAAACCAAGTAGAAAATGACGGTAGAGACATACCTGCACAAATCCAAAGTTTAGAGGATACTAGTCATTGTTCTTCAAAAAAACTTAAACCAGCACCCCCTTGTTTGAATGTTGCTGACATGATACATATGTTTCATAGAGCTGTCAGTAGTGGGCCTGAATATATCCGTACATCATGCAATCAATTATATTATGTTAATTCTATTCGATTGCTCACTGACGAGTTTGTTAAAAAATTACTGTCAAATTTAAAAGAAATTTGTATTAATGGTATTAAATCAGTTAATGGTAATGAATATTTATGTACTGCTTGTCGTTCAGTTCTGCAAGAAAACAAATGCCAAGTATGTGTAGCGCAAACGGATTAGAATTTCCATTAACACCCAGTAAATTAAAAGATCTAACAGCATTAGAAAGTAGACTAGCAGCAGCGCGTTTACCATTTATGAAAGTAAGAGGACAAATAGATATTGGCCAACAGTACAGACTAGCTGGAAATGTTGTAAACGCACCAGCAGCAACAGTACAAACAGTGAATGGATTACCACGTAAGTGTTCGCAAGAAGAGACAATATCGGTGAAATTAAAAATAAAAAAAGCGTTTCGTCATCATGTATTCAATGCAAATATAAGACCTGCAGCATAATATTTGACTTCTCAACGACTATTGCTCACAGGGATTACTCCGAATTGGGATGATAATAAAAATGACACTGAATGGGAACAAAAACGATTTAGAGTTGTGATGATGACTGTGAATCCGTCTGCAGTACTGATAGTAATGTTAGTGAGGAATATGATTATAAAGAAACTGAAGAAAATAATTGTGAACATGAAGATACACCATACGAAGGTAAAAGTAATATATTATTGATTGTCAATAGATCTAAGCTTGAGCGATGTTGATTAACAATCTGACTAGAGGTGCTGAATCCTCGTTCAACCAGGCTACAAAGAATCACAAAGTATCATTTCGTTGAACGAGCCAAATTTGGAAACAGCTTTTGCCTCTGTTACACCATTCAAGAAGACAGCAAAAGGTCTATATATTGTTGAACAAAAAACACTATGCTCTTTAACTAAACTGCCTAGTTCGATTCCATTCGGACTTCGTACCGATATCTGAAAAGAAAAAATACAATAAAAGAGTTGTCACATTAGAAGATCCTCCTCAGTCTCTTCATGTAACAGTTGGAATATAAGACTCTCCTGTTTTAAGATTTTTGCGGGAAAAAATGTCAGTTATATTGCTAATAAAACGATATTTTAGTTCAAAATATTAGCACGCCTATAGGAAGATATATTTATCCAGCAGAAAGAATTATATTATTCACAGCTGATGGCAAAATGCGACTTTATTCTTTGTTCATACTATAAAATAGTATGTACTATTGTTTGGGACCTAATACAAGACCCCTCTAAAACTTCAAAACTCAGGACCGAGTAGAACTCCTGGATCTTTTAATATGACAACCCTTTTAACTGTTTGTTGACTGAATAGACCATTCTCTTGAATTGTTGTCAACCCTTGCATGCCAATGCTGGAAAAGCAACTCTCTATGTCCTTTTCTTGCCACAATATAAAGACTGCATTCGCACATGCGTGGCCTCTTATTATCCTTTATAGTTGAAAAATAAATATATTTTTGAAGATGGAATGAGTTCGAAATCGTTTTCTTATAAAGTTATGTGTTGAGAGTTTTCTAGTTTTACACGAAAACAGGCAAAAATGGATTATTTCACATAATATAGTTTTTAT